TCGCATCCATCATCGGAGGGAAAACAGGTGAGCTGGATGGGTTCCATGGATCCTACCTAGCTCAGGCAATAGCTGGAGAAAAGAAAAAGGGATGCTTTCAGTTTTATTGGTTTTTTTTTTTGGTTGTTGTTTTATTACTATTATTATGAATTAGCTTTATATTGTAGACCATTTGCCTAGCATGCTAAAAGCCTTGAGTTTGATTTGCAGCACTTAAAAAAAGGACAAAGCACACATTTATTTTATTTTTGAGACAGTCTCATGTAGCCCAGGCTGGCTTCAAACTCCCCATATATCCAAGGAGCCCCTGAATTTCTGATTCTCTCACCTCCACCTCCCTAGTGCTGGAATTATACCAGGCTTGGTTTGTGGTGTTGAAGATCAAACTGAAGGCCTTGTACATGATAGGCAAGTACTCTGCTGGCTAAGCTACATCCCCAGCCCACAAAGACTAATTATCTTCTATCTCCGTGGAGGGCAGAAGTCTGAAGTGGATTTATCCAACTGAGATTTTTTTTTTCTTTCTTTTCTAAGACAGGTGTAGCCTTGGCTGACCTGGAACTCTGTAGACCAGGCTTACCTCAAAGTCACAGAGATTCACCTGCCTCTGCCTCTGCCTCCTGAGTGCCAGGGCTGGTTCTTACTTGATGTTCCAGGGACCTTGCTTTTTCCAGCTTTTAGAGGTCATTTGCATTTCTTTGCCAATGGTTCCCTTCCTCTATAGCAAAATCGGCAATGGGGAGTTGAATCTGTCACGTTTCATAACTGACCTCTTCAGTCATCCTAGCAACTTGGGCCTGTCCAGGTATCACAAAGCCTTTCACTCAACTGCAGGATCCCTTTGCCTTGGAAACATATTCAGATCCCAGGGACCATGACGCAGACATGCTTGAGAATTGTTCAGCATGACCTTAGGCTATGAAGACTGACTGTTGGATGGATATTCATGTCAGTAAAAAAAGGTTAGTAATGCTGTTGGAGATGGTGGCTCACTTGTCACCATAGAAATCAGGAAGCAGCAGGACTGCGACAGGCTCAAGGCAGTTAGGTTACAAGGTAAAACTGTCCTGAACAGTGATGGCTCCCATAAAGGTCAGAATGCTGCCCACTTAAAAGAGCTTGGACAAGAGTTAATGCATATGAGGTAACTAACTACCACAGTACTTGCCACATGTGAAGTGTTCAATGCACAGCTATTATTTGGGGGACTGGTGGTTTCAATGAGAATGGTTGCCTTAAGTTCATGTTTGAAAACTTGGTTCTCAGTTAATGGAATGTTTAGGAAGGACTAGGTGGTGTGGCCTTGTTGGAGGAGGTGTGTCACTGAGGGTAGGCTCAAAAGCCCATGCCATTCCCAGTTTCCTCTTTGCCTCAAGATTGTGGAGATGTAAGCTTTCAGCATAATGAGCACCCAATTAAAAGTGTTTTTTTTTTTTTTTTTTTTTTTGGAAGGGGGAGCACTTTATTTTCTTTAAAAAATTTTTTTTTTAAAATTTTAATTAGAAAGATTATTTTACATGTCAATCCCAGTTCCCTCTCCTTCCCTTCCTCCCCTGCCCACCATTAACACCCTACCTATCCCATACCCTTTCTGCTCCCCAGGGAGGGTGAGGCCTCCCGTAGGGGGTCTTCAGAGTCTGTCATATCCTTTGGGATAGGGCCTAGGCCCACCCCCTTGTGTCTAGGCTCAGGGAGCCTCCCTTCATGTGAGATGGTCTCCCAAAGTCCATTCCTATGCTAGGGATAAGTACTGATCTACTACAAGGGGCCCCATAGATTTCCGAGGTCTCCTCACTGACACCTACATTCGGGGGGTCTGGATCAGTCCCATGCTGGTGTCCCAGCTATCAGTCTGGGAACCAAGAGTTCTCCCTTGTTCAGGTCAGCTGTTTCTGTGGGTTTCACCAGCCTGGTATGGACCCCTTTGCTCATCAGTCCTCCTTCTCTGCAACTCGATTTCAGTTCAGTTCAAGGTTTAGCTGTGGGTGTCTGTTTCTACTTCCACCAGCTGCTGGATGAAGGCTATAGGATGGCATATAAGTTAGTCATCAATTTCATTATCAGGGGAGGGCGTTTACGTTAGCCTCTCCTCTGTTGTTTAGATTGTTAGTTGGTGTCATCTAGCTTGGAGACAGGGTGTCTCTGTGTAACAGCCCTGGCTGTCCTGGAACTTGCTTTGTAGACTAGGCCGGCCTTAAACTCAAGAGACTCAACTCTCTCTACCTCAAGTGTTGGGATTAAAGGTGTGTGCCACCACACCTGGCCAATGTTTTCTTTTATAAGTTACTTTGGTCACGAGGTCTTGTTGAAATAAGACAGTAACTGGGACAGGGTCTGAGTCAGTTCTTTTGACCGTGAAGGTCTTTGGCTTTGCATTTACTGCAGTATCTGTCCCCCAAGTATCTAGTAGGTTTGAGAAGTCCCAAATCTAGAATTTTAAGCAGGAGCCTCACTCTGGGAGAGCAACAGGATGCAGGCTATGATATTACTAGAGGCAGATAATACATAAGATGGGTCTTGTTCAGATTCCAGATCTTCATTCCTGCCATACCACAGAGAGCTATGAAGCACAATACCCCAGGAAGCTAAAGGACTTCTGCAGTTCCCATTTGGCCATTCAGGCACCTTGTGGGCAGAATGCCTTCTTAGTATGTGACTGGTCATGACAATGGTTAAAGGGAGTGGGGCTGGAGGGATGGCTCAGTGGTAGAGAGCCCTTACTGTCCCTACAAAGGATAGGTTTGATTCCCAACACCAACCTGCACCCAGTTCCAGGTGATCCATGCTCTCTTATATCTGAGAGCACTAGGCATGAATGTGGTTCACATACACAGATGCAAGCAAAATACATATACATAAAATCCTAAAATCTTTTTTTTTCTCCCCCAGACAGGGTTTCTCTGTGTAACAGTCCTGGCTGTCCTGGAACGCACTCTGTAGACCAGGTTGTCCTGAACTCAGAGATCCACATGTCTCTGCCTCCCAAGGGCTGGGATCAAAGTGTGTGCCACCACTGACTGGCTGAAAATCTTTATAAAGGGGGAGGGGATGTATAGGAGAGTTAGCATCTTTGAGATTGTCTGAGTCAGGGTTCTATTGCTGTGATGAAACACCATGACCAAAAAGTTGGGGAGAAAAGGGTTTATCTTGCTTATACGTCCACATTGTAGTTCAATATTGAAGGAAGTCAGGACACCAATTCAAAAAGGGGCAGGATCTTGGAGGCAGGAGCTGATGCAGAGGCCATGGAGGGGTGCTGCTTACTGGCTTGCTTCCCCTGGCTTGTTCAGCCTGTTTTCTTACAGAACCTAGGACTACTAGCCCAGGAATGGTATCACCCACAGTGGGCTGGGCCTTCCCCTATCAATCACTAATTAAGAAAATGCCCTACAGTCAGATCTTATGGAGATATTTTCTCAACTGAGGTGCCCTCTTCAGGTAACTCTAGCTTGCCACAATGACAGAACTAGCCAGCACAAAGCCCAATATCTTATCACTGTGGGGCATGGGACGTGCCTGACACATCTGATCCCATTACATGTGAAAGCACACAGTGTATCATACTGGATGACCTGGTCTGTACATATCACATTAGACAGCATTACTTAGTTCTTTCATGCTGTATTTATGCATTCTGCTCAGCCTGTGTCATTTCATCCAAAGCAACTGATAGGCCAGTTTGCCAAAATCTTTATTCACAAATCAGTAAAACAGTGAAGTTCAGTTTCAATATTCCACGTATGTACAATAGAAAAGCTATTTTATACAAACAAGCCATCCGATATGCAGCCTGTGTAGTAGCGTAATGCACCCCGCTCTCCCCTCTGACTCTCCTACAAGTTTTGGGTTTTGTAGTTTCAGAAATTTCACAGAAAATTGCAACTGAGACTAGACCTCTTAGGACAAGAAGGAGTGGGATAAAGGACAGTAGGTGTGATGCCAGCAGGATCAGCCACTGTGTTGTCACATGCTTGACTTCTGAGCATCTCAGTGTTAAAGTTGACCTGAAGCCTCTCGTGTGTGTGTGTGTGGGCACTCCCAACTGCTGTACTCAGTAGAAGAGAGGAGCTAGAGAACAAAGGGAGGACATATTTAGTCCCAATACTTACATTAAAAGCATTGAATTTCCAATGCCAAGGACTGATTTCTAAAACACAAGATTATACATAGGAGTCAGCCAGCCATAACTGGAACCGCATGTACAATATAAGTAAAGCCACATCTATCTCATTTATCTCTAATTTTAAAATAATTCATTTTCTTGTTTGCTATGCAGGTGAGCAGTGGAGAAAGTGGTGCATCTGCTATACCTGAAGAAACAAAAAGAAAAAAAAAAAAATCAGAATGGCCATGGGGAAGATCAGTTTAAAAATGGGCAAGATCAGAAGCAAATTATGGGCACCTTCTCCTACCCCCCTGCCAAGAGCAGAAGCAAAACAGGGCTTGGTGGGCAGCAGACTGAAGAGGCAGGAACGCTCAGAGGTGACCGGCTAGTCATCTACTGAGCATCAAAAGCAGCTGTCTGGCAGGTAAGACTCACTGACTACTCACCGGCTGGTGCTAAGGATTTCAATGCTTCCAAAAGGTGTGGGCTTGAGAACTTTATAAGGCACCGTAGGGGCTCTTTCCTGTCAGCCAAGATGCCCCCACTGATGCCACTCTTGAATTTGGTCTCCAGCTGTCAAACAAAAATGTTTATAAATGATGGTTAAGTACTGGGATCAACTAGGATGGTGAGAGATAATGAACAATTTATGTATTCCATTAATTCCTGCTTTCAAGAAGTACATGGATGAATACAGGCAGAGCCCATTTAATTTGCTAACTGCAAAGAGAGAAAGCATCTGGTATAGGAAAGACATCCAACAGAGAGTGTCAGCACTGCGTCAGGATAGCACCTGACCAGTAGAAGACAAGAGTCTGTGCTGCCCTCTCAGCTGCTGCTTTAGTACCTGCCTGCATGCGAATAAGCTCACCACTGTGAGGATAATGGGTTAAACTTCTGAAACAATAAGCAAGCCTCCAATTAAATGTCTCTACTTCTATTCTATTTCTGAGCTATGGCCCTAAAACAGGAATAATTCTTCATCATCAGATACCTATGTGTCATAGCATGTGACCCTAGATTTTTCTTTTCTTTTTGAAAGCAGTACCTGACTGGCCTGGGACCCTGGGCTTTGAACTTGGAGTGATTCCTCTGCCTGTGCCTCCTATATGCTCACTCAAAAAAATTTGAGTGATTTTTAAAACTTCAAACTATATCTATGCGATACTTAATGTCTGCCATGAGTTCAAATTATAAAGAGAAAGAAAGAGGACATGCCAAATGTAGCCATTGGCTAGTTAAAGTGCCCAAGCGGCATTCAGTATACTCCGGCCATTTCCTGAGGTTGGGGGGAAGCAGGTGTAAGTGCACTGAGTGCACACCCCGACTAACAGAACACAACTATTCTAAGATGTTGAACAAGCAAACTATCTCCTGAACCAGTGGCTCTCCAGTTTTAGTGTGTAGCCCAGAACAGCCAGACAGCGTGCAGAAAGAGATGGATGGACACACCCTGCCCTGACTCAGGAGGAATAGGAGCTAAGATCTATGCTTCTCCTCTATTCTCACGTGACTGGTTCTACCAGTTCAAAGACCACACCCTGAGAGCTACTGGCCTACATTAGGAGCTCTTTAAAGGTGCTCAGTTAATACAACACAGCTAAGCATGGTGGCAACACCTGTGGCAAGGAGGAACTGGGAGGCCAGAAGTTCAAGCCAGCCTTGTCTACACAGTGAAGCTGAAGCTGGCCTAGGCTATAAGACCTTGTCTGAAAAAAAAAAAAACAAAAAAAAACAAGCAGGCTGGAAAGATGGCTCAGTGGGTAAAGTGCTTGTTGCTTGAGCATTTGGACCTGAGTTTGGGTTCCCAAACCCATGTAAGAGCCAGGCGTGGTGGCATGTATGTGTAACCCCAGCACACATACTTAGGAGGAAGGCAGAGACAGGAGGAAGTTGGGGCTCTCTGCAGCCAGTCCAGCCAAAAAGGAGCTCTAGGCTCAGTGACAGACCATGTCTCAAACAAGGCCAAAAGATATCTGACACTGACCTTTGGCCTCCATTACTGTGAGCACAAGTGAGCAAAGCTGGGTGTACACACACATTAACAAACATTGGTGTAAATCTCCAAAAACAAGATGAAAAACACCAAAGTCTTCCTTTAAAAACAAATCAAACCAAATGAGAAGGGAAGAAAAGGAAGGATGAAGAGGGCATGAGGGAGCAGAAAGATTGGGTCAGGTGAAGATTAGAAGAAAGGATATGTGATAGGTAGGTTTTAGTTGGGGGTTGGTAGGAGAGGAAGGGAGGGAGAAGGGAACTGGGATTGTCAAGTAATTCAATCTTGTTTCTAATTCAAATAAAAAAAAAAAAATCAAACCAAACAGCCTTTGGGCCAAAGTGAGCAGAGCAACGGCACATTTTTTTACTGTGTCCTGTAGCTGTAAGAAGATTAAATGGAAACAGTTTTACTGGGGCTCATGTTAGGGTGACTATGACACATCCTGGAGGTCTTCTAATGGTGGCCATGGGCTTGAACTCCTGTACTCCTACTTGGGCATGTAGTGTGCAGCAGCACCCCTTTGGAACAAGTTTAATTTACAGTACATTTGTACTACTGATTTTTCTCCATCTGATGCCAGTGGGGCTAGGTAGTGTAGGTGCTTTCTCTCTTCTTGTTTTTGTGCTTCTGAGTCAGCCAGGCAGGTTTGCCACTCACTTGCTAAGTAGCCTTGAACTTGAGATCTTCTTGTCTTAGCCTCCTAGGTGCTAGAACTATAGGCGTGTGTTGCCAGACCCAGCTCATTCATTCAAGTATTTATGAGCATTTACTATATGCCAAATACCGTTCTAGGTGTGCACAGGCTAGTATGGTATAGTCCTCCTCACTTCCCCCAACTAGCAATATACAACTGAATTACTACAAAGATAAAAGGCAAAGGCAAATTCAAAATTTCAGGGTGTCTCCTTTGATAAAAGAGAATTTACAAATACAATAAAAAGACCTATGTAACATACAAATTTGTTCCATAAAGCTGAAGTGATAAATGAAAAAGGAATAGTTTTTGGACATGTTTTCCAGTTAAGGTTTCTGTACAAAAAAAAAAAAAAGAGCACTAACTTAACTTACAGGTGATGTTCACTGTGCCATCCTACCTTATACTGTGCAAATTCTAGCTGTGGCTGGGGATGGGCTCCAAATGTCTCTTGAGTGACTCTGTGGATTCGTTCTTTTTCTTCCAAGTTTTCATGAATGATATTTGAATCCACTGTGGATGAGAGTTTGGATTGAGACTGCCATTAGGAATACACTTCACCCCATACAGTGTTCTTTCCATCCTAAACTTGCAGATGACTTGTGTAGCTCAGATATTTCCTGTCTCTTCTTTTCATCGAAATAAAGTCATTACCCAGAACAGCTGGAAAGCACAGGCTGACAAAAGGGAGTAAGAAATACCTATAGTGCCACCACACAGTCTAGGTTCTAATACACTTTCTGTAGTTACTATGAGTAATTCTCTATCAAGTTTCTTTACTTAACATGGGACTCACAGCAGGCCTTATGCCTCTGGAGTCTGTGCTTTGTTCCTAACATGGGTTCTCTTTTCTTCCACTGTTAACTTGAGTTTCTAGGGAGAGAACAAGTGTATCCAGCTCACTAAGAGCATGGGCTCCACCTTGGACAGACCTAGTTCTGTGACCATGTTCAAGCCTTCTTGAAACTCAGTTTCCCAGTGGATAGTGCCACTTCACAGGACAGCTGTGAACACTGAAGTGACAATCACATGCAAATATTGTGGTATCCTGCTGGGTGTGAAAGACGCTCTCAGTGACTGTTAGCCATTCTTGTGAACTCTGAAGAACACCTGTGCTAGTTTGGCTTTCTGCCCCCGAAGATTTAATTCTTGATTTTTCTGAAGTATGAATGAGCTCTGCAATGAGATCCTAAGCACAACTGCTTTATTGTGTAGCAGCCATCTAAAAGGCAAAGATTCCCTTCCCAACCCCAAATGTCTTAAAGCACACATACAATTCATGTCTAGTCCAAGGTTTCCTTCTTGTAGAGGCACTGTAGAGTTGTGACTTTCAAAGGTCTAGGAGAAGAAAGAAAAGGTGAACATGTTGTGGTATATAGATATTAATTGGTTCTAAGATGTAAAATGTGTTAAATCATTATTTTTGTTTTTTTGAGATGAGGTTTCTTTGTGTAGCCTTGGCTTTCCTGGAACTTGCTTTGTAGACCAGGCTAGCCTTGAACTCAGAGATCTGCCTGCCTCTGTCTCCCAAGTGCAGGGATTAAAGGTGTATACCACCAGTGCCTGGAAAATCTTACTTTTTAAAAAAGAGATCTTATATTGTATATTCCTACTAAGCAGAAAGAAGCAATTGTTCTGCCACAGGCTAGCTAAACTGAGCCCAGCTCTTAGGACAGCAATCTGTGCAGCACGGTTTTTTTAGGACCTGATGTAACAATGCATCTTGTGCCGAAGATGCAACTCAGTGCGAGACAATCCGCCTAGCATGTGTGAGGCCTTGGGTTCATCCTCAGCACCCCATGAAACAAAACTACCTCAAGGTGCAGGGGCTACACAAAAGCCAATGAAAGACAACCCCGACATCTTGGTGTCAGTACTGTGTCCATCATACTCTGAAAACTCTCTCAGGGGTCTTTTAGGAAAAGTAACTTTGCTACCATGAGTCTACATTTCTTGCATCCTTTCTATTGCATCTCCCTTGAGTCAGTGACCATTTCTCCAATTTGGTGGCTAACAAAGTGAACTCTCTTATTAATGCTTGGTTGAACTGCAGGACAACAGTTGATGTCTATTTGGCAGGAGGGTGGAAGGTTGACAAAGAAGGGCAGTCAGGGAGAGAGCCATCATCTAACTTCTTAGAAGGCCAGCATGATAGCTTACACTTGTAATTCCAGCACTTGGGAGGTAGAAGGTAAACTCAGCTAAGTAATGAGTTTAAGGCCAGCCTGGGGTACATGAGATCCTATCTTACAATACCCAACAACAACAAAAGTAAAAAAAAAAAATAAAAAAAAAATTAAAAGTAAGAAGCATTTATTTTGGCTCACAGTTAGAGGTTCCTGTTTATAGTGGCTAGCAGGGCCACAAGGCAAAGATACCTTTAAGTTTCTACCCTTCCGCCTTAAAGAATGACTTGCAGACAGCCACCTTTTCTCTCTCCCCAGAGCATAACACACAGCACAACCTTTCTAAGGAATCCCATCCACCTAAAGAATCTGAACATGTGCAAACATTTGCCATGTACAGAAGAAACCTTAAGACCATAGGGGAAAGCCTGTCCTCGACAGGAAATGGAAACACCACATCTAAACATTTCATCATTTTATCCTGGGTAGAGGAGGGCTCATGAGGCCCAACCCCTTCCTGAGGAGCTCTAGGCAGTTGATGGTTGTTAGGGGAAAGAAGATGAATTGCTCAGTGGTGAAGCCAATGTTGAGCACTCTTGCTGTAG